TGCGCAGGGATTTCAACACAACAACAATCTACTGTTTCACGGGGTTCTTTGAATTTTCTTCCTTCTGTATACGATTCTGATCCACTAGAAATAGATAGGCCTATTTTTTCTAAATGATGAATGAATTACCCTTGTCATTGATGTTAATTAGTAATGGTAGAAGAAGAAGATATACATAAAATGAACGTCGGGATGGTGTTAGTACTATTACTAGGCTAGTATTACAAGAGTCCGAGACAGAAACGTTGGAAGCTATGCCTAGTTTAATAGTAGTAGTACAGCAGTTGTTAAGGGTATTGATAGCTTCGAATGTTTACTGTGAAGATGTGTATAAGAGACAGGTCTAAGCATAAATTAGTGTTATTGAATGATGCAGAGTGTCCCGAGATTAATAATATTAATAGTATACAGTACACCAAGGCCTATAGAAAATACAATACAAAATTGTATCTACGGTACGCCATTGAATAACTAATAACTAATGAACTTGAGCAAATTTATAATTTTCCTAAAATAAGAAAGGCTTTGAATATCCTGTGTTTGTGTTAATATCTGGAAAAATCCTTAACTAGTTAATCATGAAACAGTGGTGACTCCAGACATGGTGATCCGAACTAAGGCGTCGAAACAATCAGGGAAACACTCAAAACAACAGATCAAGGAAACGCCCAAAAATGTAATAGATCAAGGAAACACCCAAAAGACAACGGATCAAGGAAACACCCAAAACAAAAAAACCAAGAAAACACCCAAAACAACAGATCAAGGAAACACCCATAAAGCAACAGATCAATGAAACACCCAAAACAACAAAATCAAGAAAACACCCAAAACAATATCAATAATTAAAAATTAAGGAATCCTCAACATTAAACGAATTCAGCATATAATTTCCTCTTATTAAATATGGCAACTATCCGGTCCCTGTATATAAGGTTTTCATTTAATTTCTCATCCCCCTACTTTCCGCATAACTACCTCGGTTTCTCGTACCATGGTTCATAGTCCATTTCCTATTAATACAGTAATAATATAACGTTAAAAAGAAAATCCCGTCTCAGTGGGAAAATTCCTGTAACGTTTTGATTTCATTTCTCATCCCCCGTATTTTATGCCTAACTACATTTTAATTTGTAGTTAGGTTTACTATGTATTGAAAGAAAGAATAAATAAATAAATAAATAACTACCTCTGTTTCTCGTAGTCGACAGGCCATTTCATAATTGATACATTAACAATATACGTCTGAACAGAACGACGGATTTCAAGATTATTTTGAATTTCTTTGCACGTTCACAGTATCAATTAAGAGATTTTCTTTGGACCAATCATCAGGTATGGTATTAATCAGTGGTGAGTGGCGGATTTTGGGTGGGGTAGGGGGAGCCAACCCCGAACCACATGGTGGGGCTGAGAGGTGGACTCTCCATCTGTGATATTCATTCCCTAGGTCCCCTCTATTTCGAATTCCTGGTTCTGCCACTGTTAATAACACAGTTCTTATTCTTCATGTAGGCCTGATTCCCCAAATATTTAGGCTGGTGTACATTAGGACTTGAGCGTTTTATGAGCTATCTTTAAAAAAAAAATCATATTTTTTACCGAAAGTTGATTTTTATTAGGCCTAAATGTTTTAAAAGGTCTGTGTGATTTTTCCGATTTCACTACCAGCCGTTCTAGATATAAATCAACATAACAAATGGCTTGATTTTTTCAACACCAGCAAATAGAAATCCGTTTTAATACTTGTTTGACTTTACCTCATAGTAGAGGTGGTTGAGTCGCTCACTGTTGAATGAGATTAAAAACAAAATGAAATATAATATAGGCCTATAATCCCAGCTTATCTTAAAATCTACTGATCCGAGTCAACCATTTCCTCCGCTGCATCAGGCCATTTTCCAAGGCATTTCGTATTTTATACATGTTCATTTTAGCCCTATTTACTCCTGTCAGAATAAAATTATATTACTTTTACAGAGGCTTACATGCACACCATAGCTTTCTAACTAGTGTGGCCAGTAATACAAAAAAAGACCACGCCCTCGCCTGGTTTACCATCGACATTGTTAAATAGCTGTCTCTTATACACATCTTTTATGAGGAAAATGTGTGTAATGTGCCCATATTTGGGCATCATGATGTCATATTAATATTATTACACTCAAATATGGGCATATCACCTTGTCAACATTTTACATTATAGTATTGAATCGAATGCTGTCTCTTATACACATCTAGATGTGTATAAGAGACAGTATATATAGTCTAGGTACAGTATATCCAATATGATAAAATCATATATAAATATATATTCATATTTATGAACTGCGCAGGGGTATTAAAGATTTCAAGTGAATGATATGTGCGTATTATTCGTTTATTTCTTTGTGTTTCCTTCAATTCTCTTGGTATGTTTTATCCAAACTCTGGAAGCTGCAAGAAAAATAAATATAGTATATGAAAACGCAACAAAAAGAATAGCATGAAGCACATACTAAATTCCATTGTCTCAATTACAAGATCATGTTGCAATCATGAATATATCACCGTAAATGGAAGAAAGAGAAAGATATTTTGTTAGTGGAAAGATAGCAAAACAATAATACTTAGGCCTATGATAAACCGATTCACGAACTAAAATATATAGGGCCTAGGCATATTAAATTTTTCGTTTTCGAAACTACTTCGGCGCTCCATATATTTGTTCAAATTAAACCGCGACCGAAACAAAGCGCGACCGAAACGAAGCACGACCGAAATGATCGGCTACCGTAGGCTAGGCGCTAGCCTTCCCTTCTTGAAGCCTTAGGCTGAATCACAATATAAGATAAGATAAGATTTTCTTTATTGTCACGTTTACAATGAAGTATACATGAAATTTTTCCTGTTGACACTTGAAATCTTAACTACTAGATAAAAACATACATAAGGCGAAATAAAAAATAAATAAATTACGTTATCACAAAACCATTTTATTTTTTTACATATATACAGGTCGTTCAAGCAAATAAATATGGATTATCTTTTAAATTTAGAGTTGTGTAAGTGGATGGAATTATGCACAAATGATTTTCTGCATCTATTTGTTTTACATTTCATGAATCATAGGAAGTAGTCGGCCAGATCTACAGATAATGAGTTCCTTATGTAGCGGATGGAAGTTGTCTTCTAGAATTTTCTTTAAATGAGTAATGGCTTCTCTCTCATAGACATCTTCAACCTTATTTACATCATTTTCAATCAACTTGCGGGCATTTTTTGTGATTCGATCAATTTTCATCTTATTGTACTCAGTAAGGCTGTTGTACCATGCTACACATCCATAAGATAGCACACTTGAAATTGTACTATGATAGAATAGTGATAATATTTCATTACACACATTGAACGACTTTAGTTTTACTAGCATATACATACGTTGACTAGCTTTCTTTACAATATTAATAAATGCGTAGGCCTAGGTATACTACTTGCCAGAAGATTATCCTTCTATATAATACCCTGCAAAAGTGAAAAAAATTGAAGCCTAACTTACTGTAGGTTAGGATACAATTTCAACTCCCTCTCTCTCTGGCCTACGCCTAGGCTATACCGACGACGACGACGACCCTCTTGCACCAACCAGGAAGTAATGGTGCAACTAAATTTTGAATGAGAAGGCGCCCTCTCAAAGTCGCTTTTTAAAACTTTTTAAAGTGGTGGGTAGGTGTGGCGACCTACTTTCGACTCCTTATCTTAGGCAACCCAAGGCATTGTCATCAGTGGCGTAGGTATGGGCAGTGCAGGCATTGCAAAGCTATATGGTCCGGTGCTATTTGGGGCCCGTTCTAAACGTGTATTTCATTTTCATTTTCATTTATTTATTCGACCAATACACATTTACAAAAGGTACGGTACAGTACAACAAAAATTATGGTCAGGGGCAGCTTAAGCAAAATTTTACTATAACTCATTGAGAGTCAGCTGCCCCATTAATAAATATAAACATAAAAGGCATTTAAATACAATACAATAAATAAATAACAGAAATAGGCCTATCATAATTTAAAAAAAAAAAAAAATGCTCTTAAAAATGAAACAGGGACTCCAAGACCTTGATTAATTTCATTTCATTTATTTATTCGACCAATACACATTTACAACAAAAATTATGGTCAGGGGCAGCTTAAGCAAAATTTTACTATAACTCATTGAGAGTCAGCTGCCCCATTAATAAATATAAACATAAAAGGCATTTAAATACAATACAATAAATAAATAACAGAAATAGGCCTATCATAATTTTAAAAAAAAAATGCTCTTACTTAGTATGTAATAACTGATATATAATTTATATAATGAGAAAATTACCGAAATTATCTTATTACAGATAAGTTTAGTATTAATAAAGGAAAAAAAAAAGTAGGTTCATATAAACTTAATGGTATACTAATTCAATAAATTTCAACAGTGTAGATACAATAATTAAAAGAGTAAAAAGAAGAATTTAGAAATCTTTGTCAGAAAAATAGTTATGAATGTCCATGAGAGAGTTGGTAAGAGTTCAATAGCTATCTGCTCAATGAAGGGCGTTTACAGTTAAAGTTATTGATTTTAGGGCGCGTATTCGTGCTTTTCTTTCTTTTTTAAGTAATACACAAAATGAAAAAAACAGTGCCGGTGGGAAATTTTGAGTGCCGGACGGGGTACTGGTACTGGGTATTTATATTGCGCCTTTCTCTTGCGGTTATGAAGCGCATGCCAAGCCTCAATAATTCAGGAAAACAATGGTAGGCATAAAATCAGTCATTATTCAGGAACCCCCATACATTACAATAGTACGAAAGTATAATACATACTCCAAGTATTGAAATATACGCCATCGTGTTGGGATTCAATATTTCGACATTAATTATGTCATCATCAGGAATGAAAAAAATTATCCATATTAGCAAGCTTATATGCACTAGTACCAAAAGTGTTTAACCAATCAAAACATTACCTCTAGAAGGTGACATAGCAGTGATTTAAACAAAAGATCAAAGCATTCTTACTCTAATGATCAAAGATACCTACAAAAACAAAGAAAGCTCTTTTGAAGCTCTGAGCCCATTGTTAAGTAAAGGGTGTAGTCTACGTATAGCGAACGCTTCTTTAAACAATAGGATAGACCAGTTTCGGGAGCTGTCAATAATGTTAGTACTAGAAAATATTAAACCAAATTTATTACTTACATTACAGACGACATTATCATTTTCAAGTGTACCCTGTAATCCTAAAACATATTGGAATGCCTCACAGTTTTTAACATGATCAAATATAACACTATCAGATCGTGAAGAATGTTTTTAAGTCTAGTTATTAAGCACCTATCTGTCTTACCAATATAATCACTATTGCAGCCTGGACATTTAAAATGATAGACAACAGAACTTCTGTACTCCTTATGGGTTTGATCCTTAGTAGATATAAAATGAGAAACATTTTTTATACTGCCATAAAGTTATGAATTTTACCTCTTTAATTAAGTGTTTCTTTACCTTATTTAAACATCTACGTAAAATAAACTCACCTGGTTTTCCTAGATAAGGCAATCTAACCCAAATCTTAATCAAGCTACCATCAGTAGGCCTATGTATACATTTAGGTTCATTTAATTTCTTAAGTACATTATTAACAACTTTTAAAGGGTACCCATTCGAAGACATAAACTTCCTGATTTTACTAAGCTCTGTTTGAAGTTTATCAGGAGTACACAATCTGTGGGCTCTAGAAACTAAACTACGAATCCAGGAGATCTTATGGTTCCATGGAGCAAAGCTATCATAATGGACATATTGACCTGTATGTGTATTTTTACGATATATACTCACACTTCCTACACTGTTGTTAAATTGTAAATCCAGAAAGTGTACTGTGTCACTGTTTTCAAATGATTCAAAAGTAAAATTTATCTGTCTATGAAAAGCATTGAAGTAGCTTAGAATTTGCGGGAAATCATTGGGCTTAGCTAATACTAGCGTGTCGTCAACCAAACGAGTATAAAACTTAATAGTACCTGATTCAATAAGTTTAGGAACAATAGACTCTTCTAGTTCAGTCATTAAAATATTAGCTAAAACTGGGCCAAGAGGCGAACCCATTGAGACACCATCAGTTTGTTTATAAAATTACATGTAAATACAGTTTTAGTACAGCAATCTCTAAGTAGCTTCCTTAGCGAATTTTTCTTAAGGTTAGTAGATATCAGTTTCTTATTGTAAACTCTATCAAGAATTATATTAATTACCTTAGTAAGGGGAACATTTGTAAACAGAGATTCAACATCAAAAGATACAAAACGGTAACCTAAATTATATAAATTGTTTGGTATCGGTTTAATGCGGTCAGCAGCATCAAAAGAATCTTTAAGGACAAAGTCATTAACCGTTAGAGGGCCTAATAAGTTTGATAAGTACTTAGCTACTGAATAATAACAAGTACCGATCGTGTCAATAATAGGTCTTAGGGGTGGAATATTATCAAAATCTTTATGTAATTTAGGTAGTCCATGGGCTCTAGCAGGCATGGCTGATACTGGACGAATTTCTTTGTATTCAGTTTCATTTAGTTCATTTCTATTAAATAGTGTCCGGAGGTAGGCTTGTAAGGAGTTAAGCTGCGTAGTTAATGAACAGTTAGACAGTTTCTTAAACTTAGTTGAATCAGAGAACAAGTTTGTCATAGATGTGATATAATCAGTTTTCTTCATTATCGCACCATTTCCTTTATCAGCTTTAAGAATTACATACTTATTACGTAAGATTTTTAAAGTATTAATACGTTTGGCATCATAATTTAAATTTCGGTTATCAAAGTTAAAAAAGTTACATGTCATTGCACGAATTGAGTTCTTAATTTTCTCACGTTTAATAAATGATTTAGGTAGAGCATCAGCATTATTAAGTTGTTCCCAAATTGATTCATTACAATAGTACAGTTACACACAAACAACAAAGACAAAACAGATTACAACAATAAAAACACAAAAGGAAAAGCAGCAAAAAGAGGCTTAGGCAAACAAGTAAGTCTTGAGTGTGCACGTTTAATTAAAAATATTAAATCTAAAATAGCTCTAATGTCAGTTGGGGCATCATTCTTATTGTAAGGCCTTGTATATAGGCCTACATAAAAAAAAAAATTGAGTAATGGCATAAGCACGTATTCTTTTTACATGAACCGATAAATCCCTTAACAGAAAGGGGATTCCAGGGGTTCTCCCCAGGAATATTCTGATTCCTTGATGCCGGGAAATGAGCTTTCCCGACTTCAGAGGTGTCTTTTAATGACTTATAAATATTCAAGGTTTCCCCTCTTGAAAACGATTCCATGAATCAATGAACCCCAAAGAGAAGAGGGTCAGGGTTGCATCCCTGGGAAAACTTCGATTTCTAGATGGCGGTAAATTTTTCTCTTCTTATTACAGTAAATAGGCCTATTGTGTGTGTACCGGTATACGTTGCATACGTATTCTCTTTTCCATGAATCGATGAACCCCAAAAATAAAAGGCTTTTGGGGGTTCATATTGATTACTAGATGGATGGAAATGAGCTTTCCCGACTTCCGCTAATTTTCTTACTGTAACAAAAGAAAATTCAGCTCATGGGTCCTGAAAACGTAGGTCTAAATTTTTATTCGCTGACTCCCCTCCAGATCCGCCAATGTGAATTGTGAGAAAATTGACAAAAATCTCCATTGACATTATATCTTTCTCCCAAAAACAAGGGGTGTCAATCTGTGCTTACAAGGGGGGGGGGGGGGGGGGATAAGTAAAGGAAATTGCATTCGGCTGAGGCTCAAGCTTTGACTGGGACTAAGGGGAAAATTCCCAGTGGGTTCTGAAGCGAGAAGCCTTTTAGAATTAGATGAAAATCGAGGGGTTCTTATGGGAAATTATTAAATTCAAGAGGCACTCTTTGAATGAAAAAAGATTATATAAAGACATTACGAATGGTGGTTAGAAAAGATAATCATCCAGAGAACATGGCTCATGACAAGAATGCGTGAATGTTTACATACGGTACATAACAGCAAAATAGTAGATGCAATTAGTGATGGTGGGTAGTGGTTAGCTTGTTGGCCATCGGCCGATTGAGATTAGCAGGATGGCAGGATCATTGTATTTTTTCTTGAAAACTCAGATGAGAATGTGCTAAAGATCGGAAAAAGAAAAATGGAGGAGTAGGACTAGGCATCCATAGACAAATACCGTATGTAAAAATAGTGAAGTTGGAAATATACTGTCTGTCCAGGGATCGGAGCTCTCATCTGTCCAAGAGAAATATCCTTATTTTGATATTGACCGAAGAAGAATGTTTTTCCACTCTACAGCTCAAATCATGACAACAACCAGAGTCCCAGGATTGATTGGATTATTGACTTGCTAAAAAGAAAATCTTATGAGGGGGCGCTTATTCAAACGGGGCGCGAGTACGGTAAACTATGTTCATAAAATAATGATAAAGTGGGTTTTTAACTATAGATGAATGGTGAATATTAGGGGAAATTGAAATGATGTCCCTCCTAATTTGAAACTGTTTCCCACCAATCAATGCCAATTTTAGCCATTCACATATTTGACATAATGTTTTGTATTTCATTAAACCAACTGGTAACTAAGCAATTATAGTAACACAAATTGTCACAAATTAATGTAGTTTTATCGATACATTCCTTTTATATATTACCTTTTACAAAAAACGTGGTGACCGCTTGCAATGGATAATAAGCAATATATAAGTGCTGCTGATAAATCAACAACGCAGTATTAAATAA